TACAGAGTGGAGCACCAGGGACAGAGCATTTAGTTTATCTTAATAATCAAATGACAGCACAGCAACAAGTTGCCCTCTTTCATCATCAACAACAACAACAACAGCAGTTTAGAAATGGCCAGGTAAGCGTAATTCTTATTTTATTTTCAAGCTTTAAAAAGCTATTTTTAAAGCTTGAAAGTAATTATAATATAATAGAATTAGAAAAAAGGAATTAGAGTTACAAAATTTATCGAGTGTTAAATTTATTATTCTTATTAAATGAAATGAAGATATTAGTGACTTTATAATAACATATATATCTACGCATCTACAATATATATATCCAACAGTACATTGAAATACATATCTTTTCTTTCATTGTCTGTAATTATTGGCAATTTATTAATTTGATTGAAATATACATAATTTTATTCATGATAGAGCAAAATTTCAATCTGAATACCAAAGATAAAAAAATTTCCAACGTTTTTATCGTAAATATTGCAAAATCTGCAATATCAATGATATTTAAATATTCTCAGATCACATAAATAAAGTTAATGAAAGAGACAGATCATAAACTTATTTAAAACACTATAAAGTTTATTTGGACCATGCCTAAAAAAAAAAAAAAACATGGAATATCTTTTTCGTTTTTGATAATTTAATACATTGTTGTCTATAATTTCGCATTGTTGTTTATCTTTCAATATAAGTAACATCATCCCATTCAATTTTTGTATTATTAATTTTGTATTAATAATTTAATTGGAGATTTTACTAACATTGTAGTTTACAATCGACTAAATAGAAAATTTAGTTGATGTGATTTTCTCGACAAAACAGTGATAATTTGATAATTCAAGCCACAATTTTTGATTGTGAAAATAATTGAAATACAGACTTGTATTTTAAGGAAACGTGCATTGTTTTAAATATTTTAATATTTGTATATTTAAAATAGGAGATATCTCTTTGTAATTGTGACAATACAAACTACAATCGTTTTCCCAATTTTTCCTTTATGTGAATTTAATTCGTTTTTTCCTTATTCGAGTTTATTTTCGTAAAAATATAAATGATACTTGATTGTTAACATTAGCGGTATTCATAAATGATAAAATTGTATATCACAATTTTTTTCTAATTAGCATATTTCTTTTCTCAAATAAATCAAACATAGAAAATAGAGGGAAGTGCTTTATTTTCTCATTTTCTTTAAATGTGTTTGATATACCTTGAGAATAACCTGTGTTATATAAATAAAAGGAATAGTTGATTTTTTTATCCTGAAGACCGTACGAGGTCGCAGTAAAAATAATTTTCGAAAATTTGCGAATGTATATATATATATATATATATATTGTTATATATATTTGGAGTATATTGGAGTAATATTGCTTCGTTTCGTGACGCTAATACTTAAGCCAGGTAAATTTTCTAAGCACGATCAAATTTTCATCCGGTCTTCGTGAGAGGTCGTGCAAAGTAAGGAGGACGATGATTGGTCAGTATCGTTCGTGAAGCAAAGAGTGACTATCAAAGTACTCAGTAGAGGGCATTCCATTCGAGCGTCGTTCTTTGTTTCGGTTAAGAGGGCAGTCTCTATCGAAGAGAGAGGCCGGTTAACGAAAATTCGAGGCGAGACGAGACGAGACAAGTAGAGAACATCGTGACGCCGAGCGTTGTTTTAACGCCTGATAACGACGCGTCCCGCGATATGTCACGACGGACGTGAATTTTGAGCAAGAACATACATTCGACTTACTACTCCCCCTGTAAATAAACGCGTATTCGCGGAGTGAGTGTGCAAAGTGCGCGAGAGGAGAAAGGAGGTGAAGGAGGTGGCGGCGGCAGCAGTAGCGGTGGCGGTGGCGGTGGCGGTGGCGGAGGTGGCGGAGGAGGAGGAGGAGGAGGAAGAGGAGGACGACGAGGAAGAAGAGAGGAGCATAGGTAGCAGTGGCAGCATCGAGGCACCCGAGGTGTCGAACTGTTTGACAGACGGCCGAACGCTTTTCTTTCTCTCTCACACTCCCGTGGTGCCACGATTTGTATTGTCTAGCGGTGGTGTGGTGTGCCCTGTTTGCGAGAGGTTTGTCCGCGTTCACAAAAGAAAAACGAACGTGAAAACAACCGGGAGTGGTGTATACTCAGTGCTGGCTGAATCGGCGTCCGCGCCCCGACGCTGCCGTTTGAAGAACAAGTCACTGATTTTTCAACAACGTATCCTCAACATTCAACGAATCTTCTCCAAGATAGCCTCGTCTATCGGACAGTGCGTGCTAAAGAGTGTGTGTTCGATTCTTCGTTTGCATTATTGGTGTACTACGAGGTTAACGGTGAATCTCTCGAAGGTGACGCGCCGTGCCGAGGATACCTTGGAGACGGTGGAGAGTTTCGGTGTAGGGTACGGCCAGGGAGCGGGTACGAGCACAGGCGACTGGATGAAACCACCGGGGGATCTTTTCCTTTACTGCGACATGAAGGATTTGGGGGCCGACATGGTATTTATTTCAGTTCAATCTTACTTCTCTCCTTTCAAGCTTCCTTCCAATTTTCACTTTTCCTCTGTGCGACACGAGTCGCCGAACATTGCCAATTTATAGGTTAGGTTTCGAAGACTTTTATTCTACAATGAAAACCTCCATGTTTATAGAGCCTCACGACGGGGGGGGGGGGACTCGATTCGTATAAATTGTCGATATTACTTAAGTATCATATTTGATCAAAGTAAGAGGTGTTATTTATCATAATTCAAACGTGTCTTGGTAAGTTTGAAAACTTCGCATAATCATGAAGGTTTTATAACCTTCCGGATACTCATCTTACGCATAATAAATGTAATGAATATCGAGCGTATTTTCGGTAAAAATAATTCAAAAGAAATAATTCAGTTAGTGCTATTAAATAATCATAACTCTTTATGTTTACAATATTTAAATATTGTATAGTAGTCTGAATATCTTTCAGAACATTATTTGATAGATTTAAAACATTTTTTCATTAAAAATTGGTACAGTTACATTTCAATTGTTTAACTTGTTTAAATTGTTTATTATATTTTAATTGTTAATTTATGCAAATTACAGTGGCAAGTTCATATTGTTAGATTACCATTCGGAAACAAAGAAGTATTTTATTATACTATTAAGTTTAATGTTATCTTCAAGTACATTTTGAATTTTTTTCGCAACAGTTGAACATTTTGTCAAAAATGTTTTATTCTGAAAACATTATATTCATTCTTTATTTATCGTTGATATAGTTGCTGCAACTTACAAACAACATTCTTGCCATTATTATTTAAATCTATCGATTTTAAAAAAGAAACAAATTAATAATCGCGTTTAAATATTGTAAAGCACTTATATATTGTGATGCGTTAAATTATGTTAATATCAGTGTCCGATTCGTTTTATATTGATCCTAAGTTGTTTATTAGTGTAACAATCAGAATTTTTCGAAACACAGGTGAATTTGACGACTGTCGTTAAACATTGTAGAAAAATAATGGATAAACTGAATCGCAAGCAGAGATAGGTACGAACGTGCTCTCACACAGATATCCAACAGTTACTCAACCAATCAGGTCTCCGAACTCGCTTAACCTTGTAATATATCAACGAATCCATTAGTATTGCCTTATACCTTAACGACAAAATGATGGCAGGTTTTCGAGCTTGTGCCTGTTTCAACCGAAATTAGAATTCAAACGTTTGGATTTCGATGGATCGTGTTATGAAACGCGATTAAAAATTCAGGACAGTGTTGTTTCGACGGCAGAGAAAAAGGAGAGGGGGAAGTTTCTCAACGATGGCTGTAAATTTGGATCCATGGAGCGTTGCCGGCTGTGTACGGTTCTAACCATAGAAAAAATCTGTATCTAGACGTTCAAGTTGAATCCTTGCAGAATCCTCTGCTCCTTCGATCGTTCCGTTCCTTCATTGTTTACGTCCTCGAGCTCTGTCTACGGTAAAACTCCGCTTGGAGTCCGGAGTTCTATCCTTCCTCTCTTTTCTTCTCTTCTCTCCTTGCGCTCTCTGTCCTGCTTTTACACGTAAGCCGTCAAAGCGGCGGTACGGGGGAGAACGGTCGCGTTCGTTGTTTTAGGTTAATGTACTTTCGCACGGACTAAGAATGTTTCACGCGGTGTGGAATGGTATTGTATAATATTAAAAACGTGTTTTATCGTCCCTCGGAGGAGCTGCTCGTTTCGATCGTATCATCGATTGGTTTGTACTTTTTATATTGTCATTGGATTGTGAATACCGTATTTTTGTCCGTGGATTTTTTTTTTTTTTTTTTTGTAAAGGGAGCCATATTGTTTGGACCGATGCCATTTAAATTTATACGGCTTTATATTTTGCATGTTTCCCCTTGCTCGTGGTGTTCCCCCTTTGGGTGCACCTAATCGATTGAAACACTGTCAGGGTCCTCTCTCTGGACTATCGTGACACATGTGAATGGTACGTGTACCGAAAAACTCAATGGAAATTTTTCACTGTAACCTTCGTCGTTCATGGTTTTAGAGTTGGGTGATGCAAGTCCAACGATATAAGTCTCGTTAATTCAGACTTTAGATTTAATTGTGGAATTCACGGAGTGGATGTAGTTATTCGCAATTGTTTTGCACAGTTTCGAAATGTGTTTTCCATTATGTATCGCAGCCAAATGTTTTTGCCAACCTTTTCGAGTCTTTATGCTGACGGGGAATTTTGTCACGTCGAATGTTTTTATTTGGCTTACCGGCTGAGACACCGGTCCGAGCGAACGAACTCCCCTCGAAACCGTGTGCATCGACGATGCCGCATTGACAGAGTCGTAAAAGATAAAATACATTTATCCGTGAGCCAGATGCATTGTACCGCGCTACTCTTGCACCAATATAAACGGCAAATGTGCCTGGAGGTGATATTGATTTGCGTGAGTCACTCTATCTCTTCTAGCGGGTTCGAGGTTCAGGGTTGACCCTACTCGCCGCGAAATATTTTCAATTAGTCTCGTCATTTGGATTGTCACGGTCCCGATTGTAGACACACGTGGAATTCATGTAATCCGATTGTAGAAAGCGCTTGTAAAAATATTACACGTGAAAGGTTCTGTGATGTAGGACGTCACCGAGGAAAGTCGCGGTGGTATAATCCTCGTGGATTATGGATGCGTACACCATAAAGTATTATACATAATGTTGCAACGTAAAAATATCGGGTTGTCACCTCGTTGCAGCGAACTTTCTCTTCTCTCTGGGCAACAGAGTAACAGATAGTTAGGCAGTGAACGCCTACGGTTCGTAAGCCTCTTCGCGATAATCGTTACACAAGATCAGTGTTTGTCTTTATATGTTATTGTCTGTGACTCTTGCTGTAAAAGTTAATGATCTTGTTACATGGACTCAGTGGTGAATTCGGAAGAAGAACGGCGACCGATTTTATCCTCAGCCACCAAATTATCACGCTGTTTCTTTCGAGTCACGCTTTCGTCTAGACGCGATATTTTCTCATGGAACGCAGGAATTCCCCGGAAAAGTATACAACTGGCGACAAAATATTCAGACTTGAATCACGGCCAACATTATGGTTGACTACGCTGAGACCGGTAAAGACAGGACTGGTAAGAAACAACTCCTACGCGCAAGCGTTGTCGTATTCTATTCGCGATGAAAGAAGAGTGAAACCAGTTTCCGGTTTCTTGAGTGACGTCAGCCTTGAAAGAAATGTTCGACCCCCTTCTATGCGAGGGGCACATCAAGGGATAATCCATTTTTCTGTAATCGCGATACATCGAAATGGGAAAATCGTCGAGAGGAATGTTTATTGCCATCGGTTTATATGTCAACGAACTTTTGCAAAGCATCATCGAAAATCGATAGTTTGTTGCTGATTGGAATAACGGAGCGAAACAATTAGCACTCTTGTTATTATTTATAAGCAGTAGGTAAAGAAACATGGTTGCGTTTACTGATCGTTTCGGTATCAATGAATATTTCTCTTTTCTCTTATTCGTATACAGAATAATTTATGAATGCACCTTGCGTGCATTTTCAACTTAAAATACATCGAGTACCCAATTTTATAAATTTTTTATCATACGTACGTATACATTGCGTATGGAATAATTTTTGACATACTTTTAGAAACGACTCCAAGAATATATATATATATTTTATATATATATATATATAATAGTACGCGTAAAAAATATATATATATATAATATATATATAATAGTACGCGTAAAATAGTACGCGTAAAATATATATATATATATATATATATATATATAAAATAGTACGCGAGTTCTCACACTAATAGTCGGTGTATAATCGTCTTCTATCATGTAATCGGTTTCTCTAATTTTATACTTTCACTTGGTAGAACTTGAAGCCCGGATCAAAAGTAAGAAGATCCTCGTGAAATCATTATTCTCAAAGTCGAACGATCTTCTCTCCTCTCGAAATTCATCCGGACAAAAGTCGATCGAGCTTCCGCGGCTCCTTTCGTTCGTTACGGGTGAATATGTAGCTCGGATTGTGGTGAATGGTGTATCTTGCAAATTCGAACGTAACTCGGCAGGCAATTGAGTTTGGCCAACGTTGGTCGTGAACTTTTCTAGTGTTTCTTCCGAGTCGTACGAGCGCGCACGGTTGTTACCTCGGCCGCATAGTATTCCCTCGTTTATGCCGTAAAGTGACGTATCGCGTCGTGACTTGTAGTGACGTGACGCGCATGTCGTTGAACCTAAACGCTCGGTTACGCTTGCAGATTCGTCATTGGGAATAGCAGTAGTGTAGTACAACGAAGAAGGAGGAATTTATTTATTTCTCACACGACCGATACGACTGCAGTTGCTCATATTTTGCTTCATTCTCTTGTTTATCAAGCCGATTACGCGTCGCGTCTGTTTCTCCTAAAATTTCCAACAGATCATGTACCATCGATCATCAAAAGGGTTGCTCTGATTACTACAAACCAAATATCTAAACTGATGACTTGTTGATTATGAAATGTCGAAGTTTGCGTTCGTTTTTTTTTTTTGTTGAATTAAACATCAAGCCGGGACAACAAAATGCAAAAACCCACCCCTATCGCGCGTTCGTCCCTAGTACGTGTCTCTCTATTGCGCACGCATTTAGCTTACGCAGGCGCACGCACACGCACAAACTAAAGAGTCGAAAAGGGGGTAGAGAAAGGAGATCGAGGGAGAGATGATAGAGAGAGAGAGAGAACAACGGGGTTCGCCTCCCTCGTGCTGCTGATTCTCTGCGAGGACAGTGGCCGTGACCCGAGGCCGAGGGGCCTGGGGAGGGGTCGGTGGCCCCGTGGCAGTTTAGCGACGATATCCACGCTGCCGTTCTACTGGATGGGGAGGGTGAGGGGGAAGGCTGGCGAGAACCTCGTGGGTGAGTAGGGAGAGAAGTTGGAGCGGCGGCCACCTTCACATGGTGGGGAGTTAGCTTCGTGGACATATGGTGGGGCATAGCTTAGGGGTACAGCGAGCTATCGTTGGCTTTGTTCAATGAAAGGGAGATCCAGTATTCTTTCGTCTCTCATCTCATTCTCTGTTGCTTCTTTTTTTCCTCTTTTTATCCCTGTTTCTTTCGTCTATTATCCCAGCGTCACGTTCCCTCGCTCGTTCACCCTCGTTCACCCTAGTTTTTCGCCTGCCCGCGATCGTCCCTTCAACGCAGTTGCGGCCAACGTGCAAAAGTGTTTCTGCTGCTGGTGCTGCTGCTAGCCGATTCGAATGGATAAAACGATGTCGTCCTCGTCTAGCGAACGAAAGACGACGACCAAGGCACATCTTTTTCCCTTCTTCGCTGTCTTCGCTGAACGTGCAAAAGTTTTCGCTGACCGGTTTCAGGAGACTGTGAATGCTACCGTTTCTCGCTCTTGTAACGGAGACAAGAATCCAAATCATCAACGGGAATTATTATTTGTTTGTTTTTTCCTGTCCTGAATCGTGTGTGCAACCTCTTCGTTTACAACCTGTGTGCATGTGTTGCGATGCGAAGTGGAGCAGGAGGGATCATCGTCGTGGTACAGGAATCATAGCGCAAGAGAATCGAGAAGCCTGTTGGAAGTTTCTCGTTGGTGTGGAACGGGAAAATTCGCGATGGGATTCTCTCTTGCTCGTTCATTCGCTTTTCGACCTATTCCCGTCTCTTTCTCCCTGTAGTCGTGCTTAACGTGCAAAAGCGTCTCTGCCGGCCGGCGACGCGGTCGATACTCACGGCGTATCGCCCCCGGTTGACCGAGCCTTACCCTTACTCTTACCCTTACCCTTACCCTTACCCTTACCCTTACCCTTACCCTTACCCTTACCGTACCTTAGCTCAGCGAACCTTTAGACGTATCCTCCGTTCACTATTCTACTCTCTGCAGCTTCGATTCGCATCCTATTCGTGTGCGTTATTAAGAAGAACATCACCACTGTGACCGCTGTATAATATCGCGAATTCGCTGTTCGTGTTACAGAGAAGAACAATGGGAATCACCGATGTGCCCAGCTGGCTCGAGTACATTTTCCTGGTATATAAACATTTATGTTTTAGAATGATCACGAAATCAACGAAAAACAGTTGTATCATGCACGAGTAAAGGAGAAAAAGTATATATATCGGAGCGGAATAGGGATGAAATTATTTATTGTGTGACGTGTTATTTGTTGTGTGACAATGATTCATCAACCACTTTCAAACTTTGCTTTTCATTGCTTTTGCGTGCGTCGCCACGTACGTCGAGCAAGATGTCGTGGCACGTGTCGCGCACTCTCGGAAATCAACGACGTAACTTTAATGCGTCCTCGACGCAAGCAGCGAGTGCGTTCGAACGTCATCGATGCGTACGAATGCTCGCAAAGTTCTCTCGAAGGGATATTTCAACCATCGTATTGCGATCAGCAGCAATACTGTGTTATAAAGAGAGAGAGAGTAAACTTGTGATCCGGTGAAACGGCACGAAATAAGGAAAAGAAAAAAAATGTGCCGTAAGATAATGCAAATGAAGGTTTCCAGTTTGACGCGTGGATCATCAACTTCGTGCACTCTTTCGATCGACGTTTTCTCCCGTGGGATTTCTAACCGGTTTCTAAACTAGTACAACACGTTTGAATCTTTCCTTCTGTTCCCTTTTATCCGCCGATTTGACAAACTAGGTGAAAAGACGCGTGCACGAGTCTCGCCAGAAGTCAGAAAGTCGGAATTTTATGGTAGACGCTTGGAAACTCTCGCCTGAGATATCTGTATCTCATTCGCGTGACTCTTTCGCACGTTCCTTTATCGATACTTTTCTTTTTTTTTTTT